GAGAAACTGAAAGTGTAAATAAGGACTAAAAGGTATAATAGATAATGTGAAATAGGAAGAAAAGGGGCAAAGGGAAAGGGGAAGTGGGAGGGCTAGGGGAAAGGAAAGAAGGGACTGGAATTAATACGAGAAAATGAAAAAATGGAAACAAAGTCTTTGTAAATAGGGAGGGATGGAGGGGCTGAAGGGAGGGCAGGGGGAAAAATAAGAACCAAGAGAGATTATGCAAAGGTGCAAATTTCCAATAATGGATGTCATTATATTGTATACCTAATATGTACCAATAAAATAAAATTTTTTTAAAAAGCAGTTGATAGAATTTTAAAAACAAAAACCCACCCTGATCCACCTGTATGCTGTCTACAAGAGACATGTTTTAGATTCAAAGACAAAACAGACTAAGTAAACAGATGCGAAAAGATGTATCAACTAAGAAGTACCCAAAAGAGCTAAGGGACTATACTATTATCACACACAATAGATTTTATAAGACCAACACTGTTTCTGGAGAAAAGACAGAAGAGAGAGATATTATAGAAACAAAGTAGGTCATTTTATAATGATAAAAAAGGTCAAGCCATCAAGATGATGTTTATATAAACATATAAACTTAATAAGAGTCCCAAAATTCACGAACAAAAACAGAATTGAAGGAAGAAATATATAATGATGGCTTGGTTCACAAACACTTCTGTGTGTGAACACTTCAGTTCGGGGACATAAATGTTCGCAAAATTTTGCTTTCGTTCACAAACTCCGCAATGGATGATGTTGAACCTTATGGGGAAATCTGATGTTTCATGATCAGAATCGTGGAAAGAATTAAGTTTATGAACCGAGGTACCACTGTACTACTGAACCACAACAGGCACTATCAATACCCTGTGCTAATGGTGAAGGCCAGCGGCTACAGTTTCTTTTGTGGTGATGAAAATAATCTAGAATTAGACAGTCATTAGACATGTCTGCACTTCATGGAAGTACTATAAACCACTGAATTACACACTTTAATATGATTGGCTTTATGGTATGTGAAAAAGTTCTGCCCCTGATCCTTCTCATTGCAAACAATTTTGGGGGACAAGGGTGTCTCCAGTAATTTAGTTGTTACTCACTATGCCTTATATCAGCCTCTAGGCTAACCAAGAAGGAGTATCTTTCCTTCTAAATAAATTTTTTTTTTTGGTACCGGGGATGGAACTCGGGACCTTGCGCTTGCAAAGCAGGTGGCGGAACCACTGAGCTAAATCCTCGGCCCTCTAAATGAATTGTATAAAAATAAACCAAACTGTTCATAAGGGGCTTGGAGTCACATGAACAGAAGAAATTTAAATTTGTGAATCACTCTGAATCAGTTTTTCCCAAAGTATGTTACATATTAACACTAGCACCACGTGAAATGAACAGGTTACAAAGGAAAAGGTCATGTGGTCAACTAAACTTGGGAAATACCAGGTTAAATACAGTTTTATTATTTTCTTTACTGCTAAGACTTCTCTGCATCTTCAGTGTGCTAGTATATTCTGTAAAGCTTCAAGTCCAGAGTATGGAAAGCACCGTTTTCTAAATTAATTTGAGCAAGGGACTCCCTTATTTCTGAGAACATTTCTCAGAACCAGTAGGAAACTCTAGTCAACTGGACACTGGCCCTCGACAGTTCTTATTGAGACATCTCAGAAAATCTTAAGGAGGCCTTATCTGGAAAGCTACAAAACGATCAGGTCTTTATTACATGATTAAAGATAGACTGTAAGCTAGGTGTGGTGGTGCATGACTGTATCCCAGCACTGAGCAGGGCTGACACTGGAGGATCACAAGTGTGAAGTCTACCTGGGCAACTTAGTGAAACCCTGTCTCAAAATTTTAAAAAATGGGTGAGGCCCAGAAAGAATGGCTGCTATCAAGAAATCAACAAATAACAAATGCTAGCAGGGTTGTGGGGAAAAAGGAACCCTTCTCCATTGTTGGTGGGAGTGCAGACTGGTGCAACCACTGTGGAAATCCATATGGAGATACCTCAAACAACTAGGACTAGAGGTCCCATTTGACCCAGCTATTCCCCTACTGGGTATCTTCCCC